ACATTGGCAAACTACAATCAATGGAAAATTGCCTTATTATAATTTATTTATTTATTTGATTGTCTGCTAATATTATTATTATCATTATTATATTTTTAAAGCGTGACGTAATCAAATTTGTTTTTTTTTTAGCGAGAGAGAGAGAGAGAGAGAAAGAGGAGGAAAAATAAAAAAAATTTATTCCCCTGTGAAAATCCCGTAGATGGGAAAATAATAAATTTTTTTTTTTTTCCTTTTTCGATCATTCCCATTCGAAGGAAAGAATTATTTAAATTTAGAGGAAAAAAGAAAATTTGATTGATTCCATTTCTAGAATTCTATTTCTAAATTCGAAAAATTTTTTATTTTATTTTTTTTTCGAAAAAACGAAAATGACGGCATTATAAATGAAAATTCGAAAATTTTTCTTTTTTTGCTTTTTATTCACGAAAAAAAACCGGGTCGGTCAAAAGCTAAACGTGTGCGCATTGAAACATTTAATAAATAAATATATATATATATATATATACATACATAAAGGATAAATGTATATGACGTCATAGTGACGTCGCACTTTCTAGACTTTGTGAATCGCTTTCGTTCATTCAGTCAAGATCGATTCGCAATCGCGTTAGAATCGGCGGATTTTTCACATCGTCTGCTTTTTACTTTTTTTATTTTATTTTATTTATTTTATTTATGTGCACACACGCACACACACACACACACAAGTTATAACGTTCGTTAATTAAAAAGTGATTTTTTTCTTTGTATTTATTTTTTGTGTTTATTAAATGTGGAAAAAAATATTTATTAATGTGTCGAGTCGTTATTGAATGAGTAATAATAATAATATTAATTTGGGAAAAATTATTTTTATCAGGTACGTACGTACGTCACGTCGTCTGCTAACGTTTTTAATTAGTAAAATTTCCCCCAAAAAAAAAAAAATAAAAACAAATTTTAACGTGGATAAAACGCCTTACGTAAAAGGGAAAAACAAAACAGAAAAAAAATTTTCCAGTGAGATTTTTTTTTTTTTTCGTTTTCCCTCATTATTAGAGAAAATGAGAAAGAGAGAGAGAGAGAGAGAGAGAGAGAGAGAGAAAGGAAAATTTACTGCAGTAAAAAATTTAAAATAAAAAAAGTTTTCTAATTTATTTTAAAAAAAAAAAAGAAGGGAAAAAAATTAAATGGATAAATTTTCCGGGACAGTTTTCGGGTACGAATTTTACTTTTTTTTTTTTTTTTTTAAATTATGTCGTACAATTTTGCGATTTAAATATTACAAACTTTTCCGAACAAATTTTTCCCGTTTTTTTTTTATTTTTAATTTGTTTTATTATTATTATTATTATTACCTTGTTAGGGAAAAACTCGTCGTGTCCTGGAGTTGTTTAAGACCCGGGATTTCGTAGTACGTAAAATCCTTTTCGCGAGAAAATCCCGGAATGAAACGCTCCCGTTTTTTTTTCTTCCTCACTTCATGCTTATTTATTTATTTATTTTTTTATAATTCAGTTAATAATAATAATAATTATTATTATTTTTAATAGTTTAAACAATTAATTTTTTTTATTTTTAATTTCATGAGTTTTCGCGCCTTCCTTTCCGTCGTTAAAATTTTAATGGAAAATTTTTTTTTTTTTTAAATTCGACGCTTCGTTACGATAATAAAAGAAAAAATTTTAATTTATTTTAATGTCTACCCTTTTTTTTTTTTAATTATTTAATTTTAATCGAGTTGAAATTTGAAAGAGAGAGAGAGAGAGAAGAAAAACGCGGGAAATTTAAAAAATTTTTTTAAACCCTACGTCTTTCGTATTATTATTGTTTAAAATTTCGAAGTTATTGTTTTTTAATTTTGCTTTAATGATTTTTAACCCCCTTCCCCCCCTTCCCCCTCCTCCCATTTTTTTTCCAATTCATTTTTAAAAAAAATAATAATAATAATAAGGTTTTGATATTATTCGAATCGGATTTATTGATTGGTGACGTTTGTATTTTCCCGTAGAAAAACTTAAATAGTTGAAATGACGTCATGATTTAATAAGAATTTCGTCATCATTGTCATTATTTCTTTTTTTGATTTGAAAAAGGGGGAGAAGGGGGGGGTCGGTTATTAAGGGTAGATTATTCGAAGAGTCCGTTTGTCTTTTTTGTCGTTTTGAAGTCCTGAAAAAAAATACATTTATAATGTCAGGTATGATGTCGTGATGATAAATAGAAATTCAGGGAATTTTTTTAAATACCTCGTGTCGCCGAATCGTTACGCCGCGTAATGAAATAATAATAATACTAATAAAAAATCTTAAGAATTTTTCGTTTGTAAAATCATTTTTTTTTTTTTTTTCAAAGTATGAAAATTTTCTCGGAAAATTAATCTTTTTCTAAAATTTTTTTTTTTTTCGTTTGTAATGAATAAATTTTCCGAAATGTGGAAAATATTTTCATCATTATTATTATTATTACTTCCTTTTTATCGCGTTAATAAATAATAATAATAATAATAATAATAATCACGTTTTCCATCAAAACTTTATTGTTTGCTGGAAAATTCTTTTTTTTTTTTTAAATTTAAATTTTCGAATCTTATTTCCGTCGTCATTATTATTATCGTTATCATTATTATTATCATTATTATTATTATTATTATTATTATTAGTGTAAGCATTATAGTGTTTTTATTTAGGTTACAAACAATGTTTTTTTTTTTTTTTTTTTTTTTTTTTTTTTTTTTTCGTTTCGAATTTTTTAATTTAACGAGTCAGCGATTTCGAATAATAAAATTTACAAGTGATGCACATTTAATGGAAATAATAATAATAATAATAATAATAATAATAATAATAATAATAAGATTTTCGCTGATTTTTTTTTTTACTTTTATTTATTATTATTATTATTATTATTATTATTATCATTATCATTATTTATTATTTGTGTCTGTCTTTCTCGGTAAGTGAATGAAATGACAACCCTTAGAATTAAAAAAAAAAAATAAATTTTCTAAGAAAATCGTACTAATAATAATAATAATAATAATTTTTTACCGGTATGAATGAATGAATGGAGGGGAAAGGAAAAAAAAGGACACAGTCATGAGATTGTTTCTGAGAACGACGTGAATACGTCCGGAATACAAAAAAAAAAAAAATTTTTGTTTTTTTTTTTTTTGAGATTTGCAACCCCCTCGTTTTCTAAGAAACCTTAGGCAGCTGAATTATAAGCCTCCCCCATATTCGTGGGATCCCTTTGACATATTACGTCATCATCGGGTTCCGATAATAATATTACTCGGAAAAAAAAAAAAAAAGTTTTGTTTTTAGTTTATTTTGTGGAAAATTATTTTCATCCCTTCTGCATGTATTTGTAGTCGAGAAAAACTTAAAAAAGGTTTTAAAACTTTAAAGAATTGCAACAGCAACAGCAAAAAAAGAAAAACAATTTATATTTTCTTCGTCGAAACTTTTCAAGGGAAACTTTGTGAAAAAAAATAAAAAATTTTTCATTGGATGGTGGTTGCTCTGACAACAAATGGATGTCGACGAACTTGTTAAATAGGGAAATCCGACAGCGAGAGAGAGAGAGAAAGAGAAAAAAAAAGGAAAAACAAGAAGGAAAATTTTTTTTTTTACACAAAACTGTTACTAAAAAAAAGTTAAAACTCGACTTTGTCATCTTTAATCAAATCCTTGTTTATTCTGTTGCATTTCTACTCTCTTCATTCCCCCCCCCGTCCCCGCCTTTTTCAACTTTTATTTTTCCCTTTGAAAAATTTACAATTATTATTATTATTAATATTTCATCATATTTTTAACATTAACGATGATGAACAATTCGAAATAACGACGACAATAACCGTTAAAAGAAAAGTGAAAAACGGAAAATTTTCGAACTATCATATTCGTGACGAAAAGAAAATTTTTTTCCGTTTTGAATATTAATTAATTAATGATTTTCCAAAAAAAAAAAAAAAAAAATCAAAATTTTCCAAGTTTTTCTTTTTCTCCTCCCTTACAATTTGAAAAGTTATTCAAAAATCTTTTTTTTTTTTCTTATAGAAAAAACAAAAAAAAATCGTTATAAAAAAACGAAACGGTTATGTTGGTAATGACGACAACAAAATGGCTGCTCATCGTAACGGTTACCAACTATTCGTAAAAATCGTAAAAATAAAAAAAAATTTTTCTCGATAAGTCGATGATTTCGTTCAAAAAAAAAAAATATGTGTGTGTGTGTGTATACATGTATGCAATTCTAAATAATTGTTTTCTAAGAATCAAAATCGAATTCTTTTCTAATCGAAAAGAATTCGTAAAATTATAATCGTGGAACGTTTCGATAACTCGAAAAAAAAAATTTCAAGAAAACCAAGTTGAAAAAAAAAAAAAGTGTCGAAAAAGCATTTCCGGTTCAAATTAAATAAATAATTCGACCCTGAATTACTATCTTTACTACCCAACCCCACCCCCCCACCCCCGTCGTGTTTTACCCAACTGATGATGACTTATTTTTTCTATTCTTCAAACAACCCTTAATTTATTTAGGGTTTGCGATTTTTCTTGTATTCGCCGGAAAGAAAAGGAAAAGAAATGTCGGGGAAAACACGGTTAAAAAAATATTTTTTTTTTATACGACGTGGTTTTAAATACTTTTCCGATGACGTCATTTTTTAATCTTTTGACACGACGACGACGATCATCCATCGAAATTTTCATCTCTCGCTTCCCCAAAACGTCACGTCTGCTGCGGTTTTATAAATAAATGTCGAACGCATTATTATTTTATATTAACAAGATTGTCGGATTATTTTAAATGTCATTTAAAACTTTCACGAAGCAACAACCACCGCACAGGGATTTTGTTACTCAATATCTCCCGCCCCCCGCCCGAAAAAAAAATTCCAATGAATCATTTTATCGACCGTAAAAGAATTTTTATATGTCCAGGTAAAAGCAATTAATATGTAACATAATTTTTTATTTTCAGATATTTAAGAATTTAAATATGAAAAGAAAATGTTATCTGCTATGACTACATCGGAAAATTTTCCTCTTATCAATCAATCAAGATGTTCGCCGTCGCCGCAGTACAATCCGGTCATACAACCCGGTTACGTCGCAACCATATTAAGACAAAATTTACAAGTCATGTCAAACGATGGTAACATATTGAAATATCAATTGATACAAGAACCGGAAATTAATAAGGGTAAAATAGGACCGTCCATTTCCTATTTTCTATCGAATCCGAATCAGGATAATGTTAATTTTCATTTGGATGAGGCGGCGGAAAGAAGACGGGAACGGGATGACGGGAGGAGGGAAAACGACGACGACGTCACGATGGAG